TTCATTTATCGACGAACCAGGGATATGTATCCAGTTTTTGTTTGGGTTTATTTTCATCCCCACAAGCTGTTTTAATAGCGTCACGTATTGAAATTCCTCGCAATTGTCAGAGCTTACTGTACAAATTTGATTAAATATTTGAAATGTGCTGGTTACATTCTGATCGAAAGACAGTCCTATTGTTATATATTTATGCCACATGTAACTCAAGTAGTTATTAGTTGATGCTAAAGAAAATAAAGGGTACCTATCTTAATTATAAAAATATAATTACTTTCAAAAATGTGAAAGGATCTGTAATTACCAATAAAGCTACAATGCCATCAATTACTCGTTAATATTTCATTCATATTTTAGATGTATAGTAATACATCTAAAATATTAAATGTAATTAAATCCCCATCACAGTATTAAAAATTAAAAATAATACGTAAGGAAGCCCCTGAAGGAGGCAATCGTGAAATGTATCAGCAGGATTATAAGCTTAGGAAACATGGAAACCATCTGCACATTCAAGGAAATTTCCAATAATTACGACGTATATACTTCACAAGTCTATTCGCTACTTTATTTAACTTTAAGGATTGCAGTCCTCGATAGATAATGAGAAAAATCTTGCTTATTTCACGCTTTTTTTTAACTTGATTTTGCACTGCAATGCAATGAGACACTTGGAATCATTTTAATATTTCGTTTTTTTCGTCGTTTATTAAGAAATATCTGCACTCAATTTATTCAGTCGCTAGAGGAATTTAAAAGAAAATCTATCAAACATTTTCAGTATAAATTCACTGCACTTTTGAGCACGAATTATGTAGAAGTAATCGACCCCACTAAAATCATAATTTATTAGATTAATTTTCATATTAAACTTTTTTCCAACATTACCCGCAACAATAACTGCAACCTTTCCCATTGAAAACGTGACTGTGACGAAATTACGTTAATCAAAGATTATTTAATAATAATTGTTAAAACAAGAATTGAACGAAAAGGAATACTTGGTTTTTATATTAGTTGCACATAAAATTATTTTGTAATATTCTGTTTCAGTCACATGAATTTACACGATCAACAAATAAAGGAAAATATATTTTTTCAATTATTGTTTAAGTCATATTACGGCAAACAATCTGAATAGTGCTTAAATGGTAAAAACCTTATTATGATGCACCCTACATCCGCATAGGTAATTTCCGGTTTGCTTTCCGAGTTAAAACCCAGCTCGATATTTCCACTCAGCGTTTTGATAAAATTAAGTTAAAAATGACATTGTGAAAAGGTATAAAAATATTGTCAAGTTTACTTTTGCCATTTCGTTCGTTTAGTAACCTAATATAATAGTCCAGACAACGCTGTGTTTCACGATTCGTTACCAATGATCCTGATTTCTCTCTTCCTTCGTACCCAAATATTTCCCAAAAATGCGTTTGTCTTTTTGATTGCACGCGAGAAACAGAACGATAATATTTTATTTCTAAATCTATTTATGAACCCATATTTTTCTAACTGAATTTTATTATTTTAATGTATGGACATTTTCTCCTGCATTATTGTATTAACTATTACTTCTGAGCAGTGATCTTAAAAGTATTTGTATAATCATATTTTTGTTTGAACCCAAATAAGTAAGGGGTGCGTACTAATACTCGTCAACAAACTTCCTGCGCTGCGTCCTACTTTCTAGTTTGAAGTAGGCATAGCTAAATCAAAGAATTTTCAGGAGTTAGCACAGTGATGCCGAAATAGCTTGGTGCGCCAATCCAACACACCGGCACAGTAACGCACCGGTGCAATTGCGTTGCACTCGCCCATTTGGTAAAATGTTGTTCCCGTGTTCACAGTGAGACGCGATGAGTTTTATCGAAAAACGCAGGAACGAAAAATACTCTACTAGTTCAGAGTTGTGCGTTCAGTAACGAAGAGTGCGCTCTAAATGTCGTCAAAATTTCCTCACACTTCGTGAAAATTAACGCTTTTACGCAACTGCAGACTCTTCAGTAAAAAAAATCCAACTTCAAAAGTAAAGCCAGTAGAAACTTGAAAAATTGACAATCTGTAGAAGACGCTTTTTTAAATTGAATTTTGGCGTAAACTTGCACCTAACTGTCTGATATTCAAATTTCGTTTGACTTTTTGTGACAAATCCACCAGAATTTACTCACGCACGTTGTTATAACTGAATCGAATTACCAATTCTCTATCCAATAATATAACAATGAACTATGTGACTTCAGATGAGCTTGACATAACAATAGAAAGCCGCCCAAAATATTCCTAAAGTTTAAAATTTAACTAAGAAAGAACCAATAGCTCAATCGATACCAAATCCACCCTACGGGTCAGTTGATGAATATGGGAATAAGAGTTCTACATGTGCATGGCAACGGGGGGCAAAGAAATGCTAAGCTTACCGAAACCCACGTAGTGCCTTCTGAAAATAAATAACAAAATGTGTTTAATAAGCAGGAAATCTTTCCAAGACCAAACTTATTTGAAATCAGCAAAGCAAACAGAGAGAAATATAAAGAAACCATATAACTTCAGTTGCTTGTCGGAAAACTAAAATCAGTTGAGGTTTATAGATTAGATATCATTCTTAGCACCTTTCTGCAAGCTGGCGCCCCATCCATAGCCCATTTTCTAGCCATAAATCCTCAAAATGTTGACTACACTTTTACAAACTACCGCACTTGCCATAAGGAAATACCGCATTTGCCATAATGATTCTATATTTCCCATCTAAGAATGCGATTATCGACCGATTTCCTCCACTGTCGGGAACAAATTGAATATTTACACACTTTTTCACTTTTTCGAAAAAAAGACACCGAAGTACAGAATAAACATGATATTTAATAATTTGCGGGTTGGCTCTTTCGATGATTCATGCTTTCCTTAGCAGTTCGATTTCAGTTTGTTTATTGTCGACATTTCTGTAGAAAGTGCCTATTCGCATTGCAATATTTCCAAAGGCAAATTTCATGTTCCAACTCAACGAAAGTTAACAACCACTGAACGAAAATCGGACGCTCCAAGCGCTGATCGTTCACTAATTTAATTTTAAATTTAGAGCAATTTACATTTGTCTGAATTTCACTCAGCTCCAATGATTAATGCATAACGCCAAATCTAAAATTAATAACTGAACTATTTTTTTTTAATATGGACTAAACAAAAAGCAAAAAGTAACTTCAAAATCAAACTCGCTCAATTTCCGAACGATGGTAGAAACCAACTAAAATTTCAACTAATTAAAAATGTCTTTTAAAAGTTCTGATTTCAAGAACTATACCGCCACAAACGCAATTCCAGGTGAGGCGAGATGAGTTATAACTCACGAACTCACAGAGCGACAAAAACTCAAAAGCGCAAATCAACACAGTATTACTCAGGCTTTGTTTGAAGCGTGGAAGATATTGAAGATGGCCAGATGCTCACAAGTAACGCAAGTTTCGTTTCTTAAGAAAAATCAGGAGTTAAACCCTGAAGAAGGAATTCAGCCTTCGGAATATTAGTAACTGATCCTTTTTATCTTTCACATTCCATACCCGTACTTACGCATGGCTCTCATATTTTCCACGTATCTTCTGATGGTCGTTAATGCATTTTTCACTAGTTTTTCTTTCTTTCTTCACACGCTTCTTCCAATTTTTCGAAAAATTAATTAGACTAGAAACCGATCCTGTGGGAGCCAGATTAAAAACATTGACAATATATACCTACCTATTTATATCAAAACCTCTTGTCATTCGATAATGCCATTTTAGAAGCAAAACTCGATTTAAATATTGAATTTTTAATTTTTTAATTTTCTAGCTATTTTAATAGAGATTGCAACACTAATATAATCAGAAAAACAGAAGAAAAATATGTACTTAATTAAGACTTTATTTAAGTATAAATTTAATAAAGCCATAAAAAATCATTTGGATAAACCATCGGATAATTTTTGAAAATACTGTGGCAATTATAGAGTGAACACAAACATATTCATGCAACTACTCCAAAAAGTTTATTTATGATACGCAATACGCAGACAATATTATTTAAACAAACATTAGTTAATTACCATCGAAATTAATTCAAATAAAAATATTTTAAATCGATCGGATAATTGGGAGTAGAAGAACGAATTTTTCAGTTGTTAAATTAATTATTTATTTATTTTGCGAGTAATACAGTACCTAATTAGAATGCTCCAATTTAATTGTAAACTTGGAAAAGAATATACTAAATGCAATCAAATATTTAAAAACTCGATGAAGATCAGCAGCCCGAACAAGGAACAAGTAAAGAAAAGTTTATCAAAACTGGAAAAAAACTTTACTTGGTTTCTCTGATTATCAAGTTGATTATATAATTCACGGAACCGTTTTTTTGCCCAATTTATCTCACGTGTTCGATTTACGCCAAAAACTGTAGAATCGCGCTATTGTAGTAGAGTAAATATTGTTAAATAATTACTATCTTTAGAGCTATAAGAATTCTCGAAGCCTGATTGTATCACATTGAGAAAATGTCGTTTGCACAGTCGAATCTAACATTAGAAGCAGAATTATATAGGGACTCCATGTGACGAACACACTTCACATCTTCGACTTGAGGATCTCATTAGAGTATTGGGCATGTCTGGAGTGTTTTCAACAGTTAAGATTTTAGAGGCTGTCTGGTTTATGTATGTCGGACTTTTCTTCCCAATTTACTGTGTTCACGTTTTCTAAGATTGTTTAAGGAGCTCTACAGAACATGACAAAAAAGGACAGTTTTCTCAATGTATCGTTAAAATTAAATAAAATTTCCAACAAGAAAATTAGTTAATTCTTTTAAAAGGTTTCTATTTCAAATTCCAATCTATAAGCATTCCACACTAATTATAATAACTAGTCTGGGGAAAGTTTAGTAGATTAAGGAAATACGAAGCTCTTCATATAAGCAGCTAATTCTGAAACAAAAACATCCGCAAAAATCGATATTAGAATAAGAAATTAAATAAATAATCGTGTTAATAAAATGTTTTTATATTTTTCATGTTCTTATCAACAAATTCAAATATACTTTGACTTTAATCGTGCAGTATATATGTCTAGTGGCAAGTTTCGAAAATAAAACTTGTCAAGCCACTTTTGAATATGTTTCTCATGGAAAAGTCTAGCGCTTTTAACATCATCCGCATCGAGCTCATTAGCACTCCTCAAATCCGAATGATGCGCTCCGTTTGGCATCAGGATACTCCATACCTGCGCAGACACGTTTGCAATAACCCCACCACTCGACCACGGATCTAATAAACCGTTGCTAAAAACTATATTGGATGCTGTTTCGATTTCTGTTCCTCCAAATTCCAAAATTGGCACTTCCTCATTTCTAGGCCGCACTCCAAATTGTTTATAGCAATCATCTGAATATTCTGTAAAGTTCCATGCTGCATTTTCAAATAAATCTTCATCGGTTGAGCACATCGGCATAATCATGTCGGTACAGGCCTAAAATTACCCAGGTTTAAAAAAATGTGGAATTTTGACGGTTTTATAAATACGGGTCAATACGAGAGTTCGGTTATCTAAACTTAACAAAATCTTTAAAATGTTGTGTGTATTTAAAAAAATTTAAGTGATGGTGCCTGGAAGCAAAAAATTATTTGTTTAAAAAAATCGTAAGTATCGGAAATTTTTTATGTTAGCACGTGTCTAGCAATATGTGGAATATATTCCGTATATAAAAAAGCCCGTGCAAAGAATACCACAAGTTAATATAACGAGTTTTGAATCCAGAAAGTGGTGCCTATATTTTTTCAATAATTATATGTTAGTTTCTGCCAATATTTATTTGAAAAAAAATGATTCGGCAAATGATCAGTTCCCGAATCATTCCAAGCCAATCCCGATGCCAGAGCCAAAGTAACATTTTTGTATACATACATATTTGTATACATAACATATATGGCCTGCCATTCAGTTGCAAATTCCTAGCCGCATATTCCTATAACTTTTACTATTTAGCCTATAGAGTATTTAAAGTAATGATCAAATTGGATTCACTGACCAACTTTTCACGTTAATTATATATTATGTTATATTATTTTATTTAATACGATCTAATTAATAATATAATAATTAATACGAATAAAAATGAAAGATAAACAAATCGTCTTGTTTCAGATGAAACGGTCATCAAAGACAATAAATTATTGATTAAGTTTCACTGAGCTTTTAAAATAGTTCAGCGAGTTTTTGTCAATGTACCTAAACAAAAAAATATCAGAAAATTAATTTTTAATTAAAGTTCTGAATTAAATTACCATTTTACCAAAGAACCCCGTAGCAAAAAAAATACTTATTAATAAATCTGTTTTTTTAAATAAGATTATATTTGATAATTAGATAGCGGAGTAAAAAATATTTATATATGAAGGGACGTACCTACCTTTATATCTAATTTATTAGAATTGTTTATTTATTAGAAGAGTACTCTTCTAATATGGGGCTTATTAGTCGATCAACAAGTCTTATTTTTGTCAGATAATGATGCTTATGAACACATAATATACGGAGTTAAAACATTACAAAAATATATTTTTTGTACGAAATCTAACTTTTTAAAGCACAAAATCTGCGATATTATTTATGTATTTTAAACACATACACACCGGTCTCTGCATCGGTAGCTTTGCCAAACACTCTGGTGTTTACTTTAAATAAATAGTTGTTTATGTTGTTAAAACTTCAGCACGAATAATATAAATAGCATACTAAAAAATTGTTAATCTACCTGGAAATCCCAGCCAAGCTCTCCTAAACTTGGAGAAGCAGTTTGTCCAATATTATTGCATTTCGTGGTTCCAGTATAATTTGTGAAGAGCTGCACACCAGTTGATAAAGCTTTGATCAACCCATCATCATTATTATAATTTACACTATCCATTCGACTACAAAACTCTCTCACAGGATTTCCCGGTAGTGGCACTAAGAAACTATTGGGATAAGGGTAGTTGACTTCGACTATCATTGTATACATTTCTGAGAGCCAATTTAAAAATGTGTTGAGATCATCATCAGATTTCAATGAAGTGCATAGGTCAAAGGTTTTCGAGATATTTTGTTTTCCTATATCCGTGCTCGCTATTTTCCTAGAAAACCAAATTTTGAACTTTTCAAAGTAACAATTCGCATGTGTCGGGTAATTCAAAATTCACTACAAAGACTTTAAGAGCGTATTTGACTATTTGCGCCCAGAAATTTATAAATGTAGGTACCTGCATCATTTAGTCAATCAATCAAGTCTGAAAATGGTGCATGTGTATAAGATCATTATCGTTTTTTTACCTCAATAACACGCCTCTTGGTACCGAATTTTGACTCTAAATCACCCTGTATACTATTATAGATATTAGCAAATTTCGGTCTACCTGAAAATACTCCATGATTTCTTGATGGTTTCGACACAAGTAGCTGATCCTAAAGCTCCTATTACATCAGTGACAATTTTGTTAAAGTTTTGACAAGGAGTGATACCCTGAAATTGCCAAATAGGAGCCGAACTAGCTATAGCTCCCAAAACACTATATGGGTATTTTATTCTTAACCAAGCGGCCAACATTCCACCGTAAGAGCCACCAAAGGATATAACTGGAAGCTTTCGAAGAGAGCTCAACTCGTTAACATATTTCTTTTGAAGATTATCTATCAGATAAACATAGTCAGCCAAAGCTTGCTGAGAGCTCAAATAACCCAAGGTTTTGGGAGAAGAGTACGATTCATTTCCAAAAGGCAAAGTTTCTCCATAAAACCTACAATACAGTGATGCGATGCGTTCATTTGGTTCTGGGAAAGAGTTGACAGTCTCAAATATAGAGGCAAATTTTCGAATTATTTTGTATGTCTATGATTAAATGCAATTTATTACTTGTTCAGGTTTTGAATGATTTCTACATTCTCCTATTTTAAGAACTGCACTTAGTAAATATTTTTCCTTCTTCTGCATTCATTGAGGCATATTTTATTATATGCGTTCAACAACTTATTAAGTACTATTTTTGAGAGGATGTAGACTGCATTAAGTTTTATACACGACGATTTTTATAAGCGAATACACTTTTCTCAATTATTGTTCCGTCCACCATTTTTTAAAACGAGAAAATTTTATATTGATTCCAGCAGTATCGATTCAAGTCCAGAATGTTACACTAGCAAGTAGGGTGGAAACTTTCAAATTCAATACAACAGCTAGCTTGACAGGGATGGAAAGCCGAAAAATATATTGCAATAGATCCGCATGGACAATACCAAAGTTTAAACTTTCTTAAGCTGAACCTTTCATAATGTTGCATAATGACGAAACGCAAATAAAATAAGGAATGTTTGTAAAATAAAAAGTCTAAGAACAACACACAGCTTAAACCAAAATTTGATACATAAGTGGAAGATTGTTTAAATAATTAAAATATGTAGAACTATTCCCAGTCCAACCCTCGATAAGTTGGGCAGTTAATCATGCTTATGAATGTAACAGAAATTTCAAGATTAATTGTTTACTACTGTAAACATCAGATGAATTGAATCTGTATTTAATAAAAAGAGGAATTTTAAGCTTGACCGCAAATATTTGATATGTATATTGGTTCCAATATAAAATACTCAGGATGTAAGACATTTGCTGCTCGAAGTTTCGCTTTTTTTAAATAATCAGCCTATCATTTTTACGATATTATATCATATCATGCAAATGTTTTTATTTTAGCGGTTCAAAAATATTTATTTTAGCGGTTCTTAGAACCTTAAAATTAAATTTAATTAATGTGTTTGCAATTTTAAGGCAGGTAAGGAAAAGAAGATCGCTGCAGCATTTACCAAGACAGTGCCTGAGCAACTAAAAATAATAAATGCGAAACTTTCTTTTAATTTAACCCACTTTCCAGTTCTTATATTTACCAAGAGCAACTCTTGTGCATGTAATTTAAAACACCCTGTATATTTTAAGCATGCACCCATTGGCAATGGTGTACCTGTGTTCCGCAAATATTATAAGAGCTCCCATTTTTTCAGCCAATTCGAACAGAAATCCGGTGTTTTGTGCGAACATAGAAATATCACCCTCATTGCCGGTGTAAAAGAATATTGGCTGGTCATTGCTAAAGTACGAGTCATTTACCAGGTATCTCAACTTAAATGTGGTATTTGTGGTAAAACTAAAAAATACACGAAAAACATTGCGATGCATTATTCCAAAAATATTGTGCTCTACTTACCTGAAATGGTCCAATGGCATATCAATGTATTTAGTAACGAATCCATATTCTTCGCCTTGAACCGCAGTAGCAAATAAAAGTAAAAGGATAATCAAGTGCTTCATATTAAATGCAATCTAGACAACTGCTTAAACTGTGTTATTCCACTTCGACCTCTTGATAAAGATAATTTAATTTATTTAATATCTACAGTTGTCTGACAATGAATTGATTGCTTCCACTCGCATTTGAAATATGAAGTATTTAGATATGATTGGATTTTAATATTTAAATTGATAATACCAAGTAAACAGAATCATAAAACGCTTTAATTAATATTACCAAATTGCTGTCACGGACTTAATTTTCGTATCACAAGTAGCATATTATAATCGCCTTGCAAAAAAAAGCAATATCTGTTCAATGCCGTTAAACACAATTAGGTAATTAGCTCTAACAGAGAACAATGGCATTTTTTGCCATTGGATTGAGAATTGGATTTAAATTCGACGTCGTGATCTATTAAATATTGATTTACTTCAGCATCTTCACGGAATTTGATATTGGTCACACACATTTAACTAAATAAGAGTGTAGGTACCCACTTCTTACTTCCAAATAATAATTTATTACAAATATATATTACAACTTCATCTTTTCACTCACACTTTTAACCGTGTAACCGAAACTTCTGATCATAAGGAGACTCAATGACATAATTTTTGTTGAAACGCGAATATGAAAACCAAAATCTCAATGCAGGCAAGTTTAATTGTTTATGCAACTTTCAAACGCGATTATTTGAAAACCCCTGTACAAAAAGCAATAAAATAGTAACTAATGTAAAGAGAATTGAACGCCCAGAGAGCACAGTCTAACTTTTACAAATGTGGTGAAGATCGTCTTTGAGATGCCCAATAGAAAAGGTCCTAACGATTATTTAGATAGTTTCAATTGTTTCCGCGCTATACAGGGTTACTCATTAGTGCGTCAAAGTGCGATATCTCAGTAAATATGAACTTTACAAGAAAATACGTTCTACGAAAGTTTTTCATGTTTAAAAGGTCCACATTTTAAAATTACTTTCCAATATACGGGGTGTATCATAAACGTGTGGTAGTTACCAACTTTGGTTTTTTAAATGGAACCGCCCTTTTTTCATTCATTTTCAGATTTGTCGTCAAAATTTAAGTTAAGTTTGTGTCAAACGTTTTACCTGAAAAATTTACGATTTCCGAGTTATTCGTAAAAATGTGAAAGTTTTGACAGCTACTGGGTTCCACAGAAATCGATGCTGTACACTACCCGCTGCGAATTTTGGAAAACAGTTTTCAGCGATTCTAACAGAACATCATGATCTATGCGTAGATATGTTTTAAATTATAAGGAAATACTTCTAAA